TTGCATATTGATTCGTCCAATGATTTGGACAAAGCAAGCTTGTGGCATTGTCGTATTGGACATGTTAACAAGAAACGCATAGCCCAACTCCAAATGGATGGAGTGTTGGAGTCATTTGACCTTAGGTCCGATTACACGTGCGAGTATTGTTTACTTGGAAATATGACTAAATCACCCATTCATTGGCACTTGTGAAAGGGGTGAGGGATTATTGGATCTCACACACACCGATGTGTGTGGGCCCGCCCTTTAGATCCTCCACAAGGGATGCAAACCGTTTCTATTAAGTTCCATGTCAGACAAATCAGAAATCGGGAAACAAATTGATGGACAAAGAGTATGACTATGTTCCATGTATTTTCCACATGATATCTTGAAGAACAGAGGACTACATGATCCCTTATCTAAAGGACGTGTCATTGACTAGATCAGAGTTCGACAGCGGATGTTGAGAGCTACGATTGCTAATCGGATCCTGAAGTTACATTGGTAGTTATAGTTACTAGACTTATCCAAGTGGGAGACTGTTGGATTAGGTGTCTAAGCCCATAATTATAATTGAGATGTACTTGACTCGATAGTAGCATGGTCATTTTGGGTTGCCTTTACACTGGTGACTAGACAAGATGACTGTTAAGGAGAGAGGCTGATTTATTATATGAATAATAAATTAGGGCATAAATATGATTTATTAATATATTATAAGAATAATATATTAATTATGAATCATATTATTAATTAGTATTTAATCAGAAATTAATTTGAAATTAACTTTTGGATTAAAGGAACTGATTAAAAGTACAGGGGTTGTTTTGTAATTATTTGATAGTTGAGGCTTTGGGCCATTGGATCACCCTTATTAGGGCTAGGCCGAAAATCCTAGAAGGATCTAGGAGTTTTCTTCCAAGGCCTAAGGCAAGGAGGTCCATGGACTTGCTTAGGCCTTAAGCTAAGGGGATTAGGGTTTCCACCCTGAAACCCTAGCTAGCCTCGAGTATAAATAGACCCCCTAGGCTCTAGATTTCGTCCACCCCTTGGAGAAACCCTAGAAGAGCCGGTTTTTGGAGCAAGCTACCCTTTCTTCTCTATCTTATATATTTATACTCTCACTCAAGTGTGTTTGTGAGCCATTAGAGATACTACACTTGTGGTACTTGTTCTCAAGAGCAAAGGGAATTCAAGAAACTAGTTGTTATTACTATATAGCAACAAATGTATGTATTCTAATCTTTTGTTTGTGTATTTCTAAATTTTAGATGCATGCTAGGGGTTTTCTTTTGTGTTCATTTGTTGTATGTATAATAGTGAAAACACAGATCAAAATTAGGGTTGCATGCACACATATGATTGTTTGTATAAAACCCATCAGAGATACCGTTCACATTGAACGACCCTAAAAGAAAACACAAAATATAAGCAGGAAAATTAACATAAATAAAGAGATAAGGAGAATATACATACCCGTCACCACATCAGGTGTTGCACGAGCCTCCTCGGCTGTCAGCTGAAAAGCTCTGCTCCTCACAACAGACGCATCCGCCTTGCCCTGACGGCCATCCGTGATCCTTAAAGTCGTCGGAGCGGGTATTGCAACTGGTCTTGCCGTTGCTAGACTTGGAGAATCGACCTTTTTATGGCCTCTCTGATTACAATGGAAGCAAATCAGACTAGATCCATGGGTCGTAGCTATGTTATCCCAACTAAAGTGCCCAAACTTGCCGCACTTATAACAGCCTGAACCACCACCTCTGCAAGCTCTATCGTGTGTCTTTCCGCACTTGACACAGCTACCCCGACCCTGCTGACCTCTCGATCTCGAATCAAAAAACATTGGGCCTCTTGCCCAAACCCTTTGAACTCCGACCTGATCCGACTCCCTCTTCCTATCCTTCTCCAAGTCAATCTCTCTCTGTGGCTCGCGCTATCATTTCATCGAGTGTCTTGCAACCAGATCGGCTCATAAACTGCCTAATATCGCTCCTCAACATCTTGTGGTATCTCGCCTTCATCATCTCCTCATTCGCCACATACTGCGGAACCAATAACGCCCTCTCACATAACATTTTAGTAATCTCTGCCGCCATCTCAGTAGTCTGGCGAAGGTCGTGGAACTCCCTCGCCAACTGTTAGACCTCAATCACAGGTGCAAACTCATCCCAAAACCTCGTTACAAAATCCTCCCAAGTCATCGACTCAACCGCCTCGCCTCCCAAAGTGTGTCCAACCTCCTCCCACCAGTCTTGAGCTTTGTCTTTCAGAAGACAAGATGCAAGTCTGACCTTTGCCTCCTTAGGACAAAGGCTAGATTGGAAGGCATTACCGACGTCTGCCAACCAACGCCTGCTCGCAATCGGGTCCTTCTTCCCGAATAACTCCGAAGCCCCACATTCCCGAAACCCTTGGAAAGTCAAAGAGCGGGCTCCCACCATCGCCACCATATAAGAACGAAAAGCGCCCAAGCGCTCATCCACAATCTCCACAATACCCTCGGTGATCATGCCAAATATCACAGGAGTCTCCTAAAGAATATTGCGGGTAATCTCTGCTAAAATGAACTCCCGCATCTGATCATCTATAAACCCGACTCCAAAGCTCGAACCTGAACCGTCACCGACACCAGAGCCTCTACCAAAACCTCCTCGAGTGACCACCATACTGAAAATGGACCACTCAAACCATTAGAACATATATATACATCAAAGAATCCCATACTCTACAAGCTTTCTGGTATCATCGTGACTTTCCTTGACTCGAGTACAAATCCTCTGCTTCTAGCAGTACATACTACCTTCCACATCTATCCGTAGATTCCTCAAGGATCGCCCCGAGTCCTCCAAGTCACTCCCTTATCGATCCAAAAAATCCTCAACAAGACAAGGCTCTCGGTACCGAATCACCTCCTAGGTTTTCATAGGGCTACCGCCTCACCAATCACCGCCATCAGTTGCATACGAAACTCCCTCTAACACCGTCTAACTAGCTCACACATACCATTACATATCACCGACACCAGATAATTCTTCGAATGAAAGGTCTCACACTATAACGGTTAGACTCAAACAAGAGCTGCACAATAGAGTTAATACATCACCTTCTAAAATTATATAGTCTCAATAATATGTAACTTAACATATTCACTTACTAGTTAGCCGATGTTAATGGGAACTCCTAAAAGCACAAAGCAAGCAACATTCGAGCATCGAGTAATCGGAATCAAGGCATAACCTAAACATGCCATCCTACCACTGACTGATCAGTACTAGCATGCAAGTCTACAAGCTCATACAGTATGCACATAAAGGCATCTCTCTTAGCATTCTATCATGCAACCCTGAGCAAATCTTTAACCCTAATCTAACATGTGATTCACAAATTCTCAATTCAAAGCACAACACAAAACATGTATGAGTAATTTGGGAAAACTTACTTGAGCTCGACCGTTTGCATGCACCACACCCCTTGTGCTATAATAAAAAAGATGAATAAAATTAGAAATTGCAAAAGATTTATGTTGAAAGTTGTAGTTCTCCCAAAGACGATTTCGTGGATGTAAAGTTTGTTAAAATGGAGTTTGTATGAAGAAGTTATGGACTTTCGAAGAGTATGTTGCTATTCGAGAAAATCAACAGAAACTACTAAAGAAACGGGGCGCCCTTTTAATAGGCGTGACACGCCCCACCGCCTTAACAAAAAGATATTTTTAAAGTTCATTTCGTCTTTTAGAGCTGAAAACAAACAAAAAGGAAAGGAGAACAGAGCAGTAGGCATGAAAAGAAGAAAGAAAACCTAGGGTTTGGAATAATTAAGCTAGCGGAAGGCTCGAAACGTGATATGAAGCTCGAATTCGTGATACCGGTATCGAGGGTAAGCGGGTAAGCTTATACGATGTTTAATTTGTGTATTTCATACGTATGTCGGGATGAAGACCCGTACACCATAAGGTCATATTATGCTAGAATCTTGAGGGTTAAACCCGAAGTGTTAATTAGTCGGAAAAAAACCATGTTTACACTTCGAATATAAGTTATAAACGTGTTTTGAATCCATCTTCATATTTTGGGTTAATTAGTTTCAACTTTCACATTTTCACTGAAACTACAGAAATGTTTTATGCCTTGTTTATAAAAAAATGGTTGTAGGATCATTGACTACATCCTCTAAATTCAAGAAGGTCCTGAGTGAAAGGTCTTAACCATTCAACCCAACAACGAAACACTATGAACTAATTATCCTTAGAATAGTGATATGATCATGTCCTCATTTTTGTTTCCGAAATTTCGTTTTATATTTTCATATAGATGAAAGAGTGATGGATTTTTTAGAGAGCTCGACAATAGATAAATACATGTGATTTTTATTTATCATTTTATTGATCATTATCTATTTTAAATACATGTGATTTTTATTTATCATTTTATTGATCATTATCTATTTTAAAAACAATTTATTTTTTTATATCTAATTTGTTTCAACTTTCAACGACAGATCAATACATAATATTTAATTTTGATTTATAATTTTTGAATCAACGTAATTAAACTAAAATCTTCAGCCCGCGTAAATTTCCCACACAAAACCACGCACCTTTTCAATTTACTTTACTCCATGAACACCGTTGCCAAGTCACCGATCCGCATGATATCCCACGAGGTGATCGTCGGTCATGATTCATCAACGGATAGAAATGCATCTAAGTAGCAGCCTCAGGTTTTAACTCCCCCGCTCACCCACTATATATACACAACCACCAATTGACACTCATCACAAGCTTCATCTACACTTCTTTCAGATTTGCAAAATTTCAGGTACTTTAGTTCGATTAAAAACTTTTGATAGAATCTACATCCAGTTTAAATTTATTTTCTTTGCATTTGATTTAATTTGAAGTTCGTACTATTATTTGATTATTTTGATTTCAATTTTTCCACCTTTGTGAAATTTCCAATTTTATTTAATCTTCAATTGTCATAGATTTCGGAGCAATTTGAAGAAGTTTGAAGATGTCAGGACGTGGAAAGGGAGGAAAGGGATTGGGAAAGGGAGGTGCGAAGCGTCATCGTAAGGTTCTGCGAGATAACATCCAGGGAATCACAAAACCGGCGATCCGCCGTCTTGCGAGAAGAGGAGGTGTGAAACGTATCAGCGGGTTGATCTACGAGGAAACTCGCGGAGTTTTGAAGATCTTTCTAGAAAATGTCATCAGAGATGCTGTTACCTACACCGAGCACGCACGCCGGAAAACTGTCACCGCCATGGATGTGGTGTACGCGCTCAAGAGACAAGGCCGAACTCTCTACGGATTCGGTGGTTAGGATTTTACTAGTGTTGTTATGTTAGGGATTTCTACTACTCGTTGAAATCAACTGTTAGTTTTGTTATGCTCTATCTTAAACCAAACCAGAAGTAATAGACTGTTTTCGTATTTTGACTTCGCCAAAATCAAAATCAAATTGGTTGCTTTTTAACTGTGGTAGCTATTTTGTGTAATTTGTTTTTTTTTTTTGACGATATTGGAATTTCATTTTATTGATTTCAGCAAGATTTGCATAAGGCTGTCAAACATTTCCGGTTGACTAATTAAGCAATTTCATTTTTCTCTATGAAATCTATATGAGTTTTAGCAAATGGTAAAACGCACAATCTAATACCCTTTCAATTTGACTGATCTTAATGTAAACTGTAGCATTGTATTGGGGTTCAACTTGCTCACGGATAAAGTAACTTCAACCATTTCCAACCTACTTACATTTTTTCCTAAAAAAATGGAGTAAAAAATAGGGTAAATAGTGTTCCATCTCCAATAGTATTCCAATAGTATTTCATTTGTTACCTCATTTTTACACCCAAAAATATATTCTATTCTTCTAACTTATAAATTGTTAAATACACCATTCTATTAATTTGGTTTCAATAAATATATAATATATATTTTTTTCATTAAAATAATATTAAATAAATAAGATTATATTTATAATACGTAATTATAAACTTTTTTTAAATACGTTATTATGTTTTAAAATTTTAATATGTATTTAAATTTTAATATGAATTTGATAAACAAAAAAATTTATATTTATAATTAACTAATTAACATAATTTAATATATAACACAATATTTATAAAATATATATTCAACTTTTAATTTATATAATCACAACCAATAGACACTTATTTAATCTTAAATCACAACATTATTTTCTCTATTAAAGAGTTAATGATCATTTAACTCCTTTATTACATATCAGCACTCAAATTTCATTGAACATCCATTAGATACTTATATGTAGCTTTTCCCTAACAACTTAATATATAATAATTTGTTGGTATCTTTTAAGTTTAATTGGATTTTATGAGTTTTGAAACCATCAAAACTTTGATCTAATAGAAATCTAAAACTTTGATCTAATAGAAATCTAGTGGTATAAATTGTATATTTGTATAAAACGAGATTTTATCATGAACACGAAGAAATATGTGGACAAAAGGCAGTGCCTTAAAACCTATGCAAAATTTTGGAGTTTGTTGTAGTGGAAAAAAAAGTTACGAAGTAGCAAGTTAGTGTAAATAGATATGTTTTAACTTGGTCAAACTATCTAATCTCTAAGGCGAAGAGTTGCAAACTTGTTTGTCACAAACACCGTGATAAACACAATCACGAACACAGTGCAAAGAGTTGCGGACTTGCTGATCCTACGTAAATTATGAACAAATTCTATGTTAGAGTGATGGAGAGTAAAAAAGAAAGAAAAATGCACGTTATAAAATATGGTATACACCACTAATGATCATTCAATGTCGTTATAACACCTTAACACACAAAGAGAGTGATATTTACATGCTATAACATTGACATAAATGCATAACACACCCCATCGTTAAGAGTATACATTTTAGCCTTAGAAAAGTTGATTACTAGGGCTGCAACGAGACGAGCCGAGTTTGAGCCTGACCAAGCTCGGGCTCGGCTCGTTTAAATATTTATAGGCTCGAGCTCGAGCTCGGCTCGTTTCGAGCATTGTGGTACAAGGCTCGAGATCGGCTCGTTAAGAATTATACGGGCTTGGGCTCGGTTTCGGCTCGACTCATATACAATATATTATAATTTCCTAAAATGGTATTTTTTAAATTATTATTTATTGTAATATATAAAAATAAAAATAATTTTTTTATTAGATATATGTAGGCTTGTTTAAGCTCGCGAGCCTAATCGAGCCAAGTAACAGAGGCTTGAGCTCGAGCTCGTTTAATAAACAAACCTATATTAAGCTCGAGCTCGGCTCGGACTCGTTTAAAATCAATCACGAGTCGAACTTTTAACGATTCGATTTCGAGTAGCTCACGAGTAGCTTGGCTCGTTTGCACCCTATTGATTACCTTCATAAATTTAACTGGTTGTGAGAAACCAAATATCATATAGTTATTGGTCATAGTATTTTTTTCAAACAATTCACATAAATTTATTTGTCCAATTTATATAAAAATAATTAAATATGTAAAATTTAAAAACTTCATTACTTTCACATTTCATTATCCTTTAATTTTTAATTGAGTTATTTTTACACGTAAAATGTTTCATAAATAAATGCATAAGTTATTTAATTTTGATTTATAATTCTGTTTAGAGTACATAAATAATTAAACTAAAACCTTGGCCCGCGTATTTTTCCCGCAATTAAACACCGTTGTCACGTTACCGATCCACGTGAAAATTCATGTCATCATAATCGTCGATTACCACTCATCAACGGTTAGCAATGCTTGTAAAAAGCACATCCAGGATCCACTCCCTAACTCACCCACTATATATACAAAACCCCCCAATTGTCAACATCACCACTTCCATTTGCATTTCTTCCAATCAACAAAGTTTCAGGTACAAATCTAAATTAACAACTTTTGATGAATCTTCATCCATTTTTTCTTTTTGATTCTATTAAAAATTAATTACATTACTAGATTAGCTTCTTTTCTTCCAAATGTCAATCGCTCCGGTTTGTGAAGTTCCTAATTTTATTTGATCGTGAAATGTCACAGATTTCGGAGTAATTTGAAGAAGTTTGAAGATGTCAGGACGTGGAAAGGGAGGGAAAGGATTGGGGAAGGGAGGAGCAAAGCGTCATCGTAAGGTTCTGCGAGACAATATCCAGGGAATCACAAAACCGGCGATCCGACGTCTGGCGAGAAGAGGAGGTGTGAAACGTATCAGCGGTTTGATCTACGAGGAAACTCGCGTAGTTCTTAAGATCTTTCTAGAAAATGTCATCAGAGATGCTGTTACCTACACCGAGCACGCACGCCGGAAAACTGTCACCGCCATGGATGTGGTGTACGCGCTCAAGAGACAAGGCCGAACTCTGTATGGATTCGGTGGTTAGGGTTTTCAAGGCCCGAAAATAGTCTGTGGGTATTGGTGTTAGGTTATTGATTTCTACTGCTTGTTCAAATCAAATGTTGTTAGTACTTAGTGTAAGCCTCGGATCATTTTAACAAAATAGAAGTACTCGACTGATTTCTTATCTCGATGTTTCCAAAATCAAAATGCTTTTTGGCAAAATTAGAATTGCATTCAGTTGACTTTTGCAACTTCATCGTCTCCATCTGAATCAACAACTGTTATCAGCATTATCAAATGGTACATCCACATAACACACTTTCATAACCAATACATTTAATCAACAATTTCATATATGTAATTGTAAGCTGAAGTATCACACACTAAAATTCTTGTGGCTTGTTGCTAGGATAGCCTGTGATTGCTTTTCATATTTAAAACCTAAAGCTTTTGAATTATCTGCAGACCATACAAAGATCCCACCAAGTTTCCCTTGACTTTTAAGCCTTTTACAAGCTGTAAAGAACCCATTTTTTGGTGATAAACCTCCACTTCCTTCGGTTGTGATGCTAGCCAAGATATTTCCACCTCCATAATTATCTCTTTGTGTCTGAAAGTATCTCATAAACTGAGAAACAGTCGTCCCCTTGTCATATGCATAAAACTGGAAATTGACATAGTCTATGACGTGAGCATAACTCGTCCAAAGAGCCATGTAGTTTCTTTTAACTTCATCATCATCATCGAATGGAGCTATAGATGCAAATGTAATGACTCCATTGTTCTTGAGAGTTGTTATAAGCTTCCCAATGCATTCAACAAATGTAACTTGATCTGAAACGAAGTGCTCATAGTCTATATCAATCCCATCCAAGTTATACTCTTGGATGATCTTAGTGAGTGAAGAAACCGCATTAGAAACCCATGAATCCACTGATGAAACTGTAAAGTTACACGTTTTTCTCTTACAGTGTCCCCTCCTAGGCTTAATGCTACTTTGACATTTGTATGCTGACTCTTGATTGAAGAGACTTGTGAAGGGCTGAGATTATGAGTATCCCAAAAGATTTTGAATTCACCATTTGTTGGTGAGGGAGAAGATGAATTTGTATAATCAATTGCAAATGCAAGTATGTAATGAAACTCCACATTTGGGTTGATGGGTACATCTGAGAATTTTACATTGTTATCTTCTGCACCTATATATTCACTAAACAGGTATGATTTTGGTGCAATAGGTTGTCTTGATGCCATTGCTAAATGAGCTTGTAGAGTGAAAAGAAGAATGAAAAGCTCAGAGAAGCCCGTTTTGATCAAAGAACAGATTAGAAGAGCTTTCTGGCAAATGGGTATCCCTTGTAAGTTCTGTTTAGATGCTAATGAAGGAGTTTTTTTTTGGGTTTTAATAATGTTCTCAGCTGCAGTCTTGAACAAGAAAAAACCACTTTGAAGATTCCACATTGTCTAAAAAACGAAGTTTTTTTTGTCATATCTATCTGCTCAAGAAAAGAATACAGAAGGTGCCATTGTGTTTGCTTGTCTTTTCTTGTTTGATGATTCCTACTTAAACTCTTAAATATTGTAGGAGGCACTAGTGTTGGGATATTTAATTACACTAGTTGAGATTCTTGTTCATATCTGAAAACAAAGGCTTTGGATTCACCAGCACACTAGCAACAAATAAACGACAAATTACCGAAAAATTACTATGTTTTTAACCTTTTACCTAAAAAATATTATTATTATTATTATTATTTTTACAGTTAATCATATATCTTTTTAATGTTTTTTCTTAAAAAAACATTGATAACTTGTTACACCCAATAACAACACTACTAAATGCCAAACATAATTTTTCAATAAAACACTAAGGGTGTGTTTGATTGTGGAAAAATTTCAAACGGAAATGAAAATTTTGAAAATGCATTTTGTTGATTCAGTTTTCAAAAAATTTCCAAGATAATGAAAATTTTATGTTTTCCAAGTTGTATGTAAAACCAGAAAAGTGATTTTTATAGTTTTCCAAAGTTTATCAATTTCTAAAGTTACAGCTCTCCACCTAAGCTTAAAGCCAGTCTGACATTAGAATGCCGACTCTTGATTAAAGCGACTTCAGAAGGCCTGAAATTATCAGTATCCCAGAATACGCTGAATTCACCATTTGTTGGTGATGGAGAAGATGAATTGGTAAAATTTTACTAGTAGATATTCATATTGTACATACATATACGCTTTTACAAACCACATAGAAACACAACAAAATATATATACATACATACTAACGAGGGGCTGCTAGCAAAGCTTGTGATTGCTTCTCGTAGCGAAAACCCGAAGCCTTGGAATCATCTGCAGACCATACAAAGATCCCACCAAGCTTCCCTTGACTTTTTAGCCGATTACAGGCAGTGAAAAACCCGTTCTCTGGTGATAAACCTCCACTTCCATCTGTGGCTATGCTAGCCAAGATATTACCACCTTTATAGTTGGAGCTTTGTGTCTGAAAGTACTTCATAAACTGTGAGATGGTGGTCCCCTGGTCGTATGCATAAAACTGGAAATTGACATAGTCTATGACGTGAGCATAATTCTTCCAAAGAGCCAAGTAGTGGCTTTGAACTTCATCATCATCAAATGGAGCTATAGATGCAAAAGAGATGACTCCATTGTTCTTGAGGGTTGTTACAAGCTTCCCGATGCACTCAGCAAACGTATCAGGATCTGCATGAAAATGCTCGTAGTCAATATCAATCCCATCCAAGTTATACTCTTGGATGATTTTAGTGAGGGAAGAAACAGCATTTGAAACCCATGAATCCACCGAAGAAGGGCTGAAGTAACAGCTTCCTCCTCCCACACTGTCTCCTCCTAAGCTCAAACCTACTTTGACATTGCTATGTTGACTCTTGATTGAAGAGACTTGAGAAGGGCTGAGATTATCTGTATCCCAGAACACATTGAATTTACCATCGGTGGGGGATGAAGAAGATGAAGTGGTATAATCAATTGCAAATGCAAGTAGATAATGGAATTCGACATTGGGGTTGATGGGTAAGTCTGTAAATTTGACACCGTTGAATTCTGCTCCAATATATTCACGGAATAGGTCTGATTTTTGTGCAGTATTTTCTTGTGTTGATGCCACCGCTAAAAGCACTTGTAGCATGAGAAGAACAATGAAAAGTTTGGAGAAGCCCATAATGATCAAACTTCAAAGACCAGATTATGTTGAAGCTCGAAGGTTGATGAACAAAAATAGGAAGCCTACAAGTTATATAGAGGAGCTTTCTGGCAAATTGTTTACGATGTGATCAGATTAATTAGTGTTAATTAAAGTGGCGTAAGTGTGCTTCTACTGTTGTTATATATGTTTAATTATATATATTCTGTCTTGAATAACAGGTTAAAAATCTATTCCAAATCCCTTGTAATTTCTATTTATTTGTTAATGAAAGCTTTTTTGTTTTTTTCATGTTTGAGCTTCCGCCTAAAAGTACAAAAACCATGTAGTCAACGCCTCATTGCCACAAACACCCAGTTTTGTCATAACATGACCTTTACAAGTATACAAAACCTGCCATAATTGTCTTTTGTTTTGTTGTTTCATGATATTATTTGTTATATATAAACCTGGAAATTGATGAATTTATCTTTATCTTCAGTTTCCATTATTTTTTTTATTGGATCCTATATAATTAATTGAAGTCGAGTAGAAACGTTTAATTTGGTAGAGATACATGATGTTTTTAAACTTGAAGAAGTCATGATGTTCTGATCCATTTATTGCAATACATTTCGAATAAGCGCCTGATTTATCCACAGAATTTTCTAATCCATCCACAGAAAAAAGAGTTTATGGACAAATATACCCTCAATTTAATTTCTAGGTATTTAATTAAGAGACAAAAAGCTCCTGTTTGGAAACTCTAAAAAACATATGACAGGCGCTGTTTCTTCAACTTGCGCTCCTTCCCTCGACAACGTTATTTCAGTCGACGCTTTTTCATCCGGAGCTGCTGCTTCACCGACTTCTTCTTCAACCCACTCTCAACCGGTAACTCTAAAATTGATGTTTGATTTAATTATGTTAAAATATTTACCATGACTATTGATTTTGATTTTGTTTTGCCACAGAGGAATTACGATTGTATCTTTACTTAACTTTAATTGTTATCTTTCATCTCAAAGCAATTAAACCATTATTAACTTTATGTTCATTCACAGTTTACGTAACTTCATGAAAGTGCATGACACAATAATAATTTAATATTCACTTTGATTTTTATATAAAGTCATGTTGCAATATTTAATTGATTATCATGACAAACCATGTTACATCTTCCTGTGAACATAATCTAGAATTTTAATTGAGAAAATTAAGATAATCATATATAGGAATAATTATCAATTGAGTTAAGTTAAAATGATAAATTGATTCTTTTATACGTTAAAACCATTATGTTAAAATGATAAATGGATTCTTGAATAAACAAATGGGTTATATGTTTGATTCTTGGAGGTAATAGTTGGTTGTGATAAAATTGATTAACAGGTGAGAATGGATTCATCAAGTCCTATGATGCAAAATGAAGAACTCTATTTAGCTAACTCTAAATTTGAATCATATGATGAATTATTAAAGAGTGTACGAGATTTCTATTACACTAAAGGATGTGGGGAATCTATTCAAGATTCAAGCAAAGACAAATATGTCACGTTGCAATGTGATCGAGGCGGTTCCCATCGAGATAGATTGTGTATTGGAGATAAAAGAAGGAAGAACACTGGATCTCGTTTGATTAAATGCCCCTTCCAGATTGCAGGTAAAAAGGGAAATGATGGTGTTTGGGTACTTAAGGCAAAAAACTTGACTCACAATCATGAACAGGCTATAGATGTCTCTGGTCATCCATCATTCCGTCGATTATCACCGGAGGACGTACAAAGTGTCAAAAACATGACACTTTCTGGCATACCCCCAAGGCAAATTCTTTCTTCTTTACGTCAGAAAAATCAAAACCTTCCGGCAGTCTCTCGAACCATATACAACTTGAAGGCAAAAATCCGCAAGGACAACTTGAATAATCGATCAATGGTTAGTGCCTTATTTGAAGAGTTTGAAAAAGAAGGATTTGTTTATGATTATTTACATAATCCACTAGGGCATATAATTCATTTGTTCATTGCACATCCTTTGTCGATTAAACTTGCCAAAGTCTTCTCAAATATCTTTGTAATGGATTGCACATACAAAACAAACAAATATAACATGCCTCTCCTTGATATCATTGAGGTTTCATGCTTTAATACCTCTTTTTATTCTGGGTTTGTTTTTCTGGAGAGAGAGGATGAAGATAGTTATATTTGGGCATTAAATGTGTTTAAGAAGACCCTTGAAAATCGTGAACCATCTGTGATTATGTCGGATAGAGAGTTGGCATTAATGAATGCCATAAAGATGGTATTTCCGAACACGACAAACCTTTTGTGTATTTGGCATATTGAAAAGAATGTGTTGGCAAATTGCAAGAAGCATTTCACAAATACAGAAGAGTTTGACATATTTATGTCAAATTGGAATAATGTAGCATATTCAACAACAACAACAATTTTTTAGCATAATTGGGGTGAATTTGAGTTGCTTTATCAAACAAAGCAAGTTGCAATTGAGTATATAAAAAGTACATGGTTGCCCTGGAAAGAAAAGTTTGTTAGTGCTTGGACAGAAAATTATTTGCATTTTGGCAATCGTGCATCTTCAAGGGTCGAAGGTGCTCATTCCAAGCTTAAATCGTATCTACAAGTATCTACGGGTGGGTTTCAAGGTGTTATAGAAAAGATTTGTCTTGCAATCAGACATGAATTCAATGAGATTAAAGTGAAACTCGCAAATGAGAAAATCAAAGTTCTTCTTAAGTGTGATACACCTGTTTTTAGAGAGCTTTTGTAGCATGTATCTCATTTTGCATTAAAGGAGATACATATACAATATGAAAAAGTAAAAAAAGGTAATGTTTACAAAGATATATAGTTTTACATTATTGCACAACATTAAGTTTTACATTAGCCTTTAATAACTATTTTTGTTTTTTAGGTACAATGGCTCCTTGCACTGGCCATTTTATGGCAACCATGGGTCTTCCTTGTGCTCATAAGATACAAAATTTGAAGGGAATGAAACTAAAATTAAATCTCATTCATCCACATTGGAGGATTGATACATTGCGCCTGAATTTAGAAGATGATTCACATAATGATGGCGTTAACAAATTTGATGAGTTGCTTACTGAGTTGTCTTCAAGATACCAAATATGGCCTTTAAGTAAGAAAGAATTTGCTACTTCTATGATTAATAAGCTTTTGACTGAATCTGATACGTTGTTTGCAGGGGCGGAACACAAACATCAAAAGTGAGGGGGCCGGAACCAAAACTTCAAGAGAAAAACTTATAAACAAATTATATTTGTTCAAACTTCAAACAACTAATTATTTTGATTTACATATAAAAGTCATTATTATAATTTAACGAATATACAAAAATAATTAAAAGTAAAAGTATACAGAATCTAACAATTAACATATACATTTAAAAAACAAAAATATTCTAATTCATGTTTGCATTTTGGTAAAAAATTTATACTACTCGTTTGTTTTAACAATTCAATAACTTATAACTTGACCAACGTTAAAAAATAATAAATCAATGCTGCTTTTTATTACTTTTATAGTTGTCTAGTTAGTTTCAATAATTATATCACATCTACAAAGAGAGATAGAAAAAAGAGAAAGATAAAAGAGATTAGAAAGAGAAAATGAGAAATACTTACTATTAAGTCCGGTGATGAGAATATGTCGGAGAAGAGAAATAACAAGCAAACAAATGTCAGCACAAATCTATCAGAGAGGAAGCACCGGCTGCTGAGGTCGTTGGTCAGAGTAGCAGTCGGCAAACGGCGGAGACGAGTGACAGACACCGCACGTAGGTGATGAAGGTAAAGCGGAGAGAGAGGGACTGTTGAGCATTCCGGCAGCCGCGGTAGTGGTGATATAATCTCGTGAGCAAGGTTTTTTTTTTTTTTTTTTTTGACGACAAAATTCTTTAGTTTAGGGTTTATAGTTTCTCAAAGATTTGAGTTTATAAATTGTAGATTAGAATTTTTTGTGTTTTATTTTGATCTTTTTATTTTTACTTCCTAATTTATTGGGTTTTATTTTGATCTTTTCTAAGCAATTATCACGATTTCCGTTAATTACTTATTAGATCCATGATTTACATATATATTTGTGGATGATTAATCTGAGGGGCCATAAACTTACTGAAAAATCAAAGTAATCCTATGCATATATAATCCAAGCATTGGTAAGTAAAAAATCAGGGGGCCATGCCCCCCCCCCTCCCCTATAGGCGCTCAGCCACCGGTTGTTTGAGCCCATGATCCGTCGACCGAAGGGTAGACCTCCAAAATCGAAAAAGAAAAAAGGAATAAGTTCTACCGCACGAGACCCTTCAAGATTTGAGCTTGTGGAATCATCTAAAACACCAAAAACTTCGAGTTCTACTGGCGTCTTTCAAATTAACAATGAAGTATCTGATAATATTAGTTATACAAATAATGAAAACAACTTATTTGATTTAAATGCATTTCCAACCTTTTCAAGTGATATATGACATATGAGTAGTTTGAAAATTTGATATGTATTAATTTGAATATTTGATATGTATTAGCTTGAATATTTGATTGTTATTTGCTAGGCATTGTTTTTATGTTATATTTTTTATATTAAGTTGTTCATTGTATAGTAGTTTTATAATTAATATGTTTATAAACTTTTAATTAAAAATTGAGTTAGTGATGTAAACTGTGAACAATAGGTAACGAATAAATAAATAGATTAAATACTAAAATAAATGGTATAAAACTCAAAATAAGAAACAAATACAAAGAATAAGCACATAAAGGTATAATTGTTATTTTTTAAAAAAATATTTCTAAATTAATAAATGATGATATAATTGTGGTGGGGTACGCATCCGTTTAGAGTTTCTAAAAATAAGGTTATTTATCTCTTAACATCTAAAATTTAATATAAGGGTAAAATTGTCCACATATTATTTTTTCCTTGGATTGATAAAAAAACTCAGTGGATGAATCATCCCCCTTTCGAATATGATTCAAGTATCTTATTTCTTATTTGGAAGGAAGAAGAAAGGAAACTACGGACATATGAAATGGAACATATTACTATTAATATATGCCCATATATTCATGCATGATGAAATAAAGATGATGATCATGCTGCCAATAAGGCCAGAGCAGCTTTTTCATATCTAAAACCGAACTCTTTGGATTCGTCTGCACACCAAACAAATATGCCTCCGAGCTTTCCATCTCTCTTCAACTCTTTGCAGGCCTCAAAGAATCCCTTATTAGGAGGCAAACCTAAGTTACCTTTGCTTATGAAGCTTGCTAGAAGCTGACGTCCTTTATAACTTGAAGCTTGTTGATGATGAAAGTGTTTTACAAACTGTGAAACACTAATCTGATCATACGCATAAAACTGGAAATTCACATAATCAATAACATGTCCATATTTCTTCTATAAAGCCAAGTAATTTCTTTGAACCGGTCCTTCATCTTCATAGGGGGCGATAGAAGCAAATTTGATGGTCCGATTTTTCTTTAGAATTATTATAAGCCGTCCTATACATTCAACAAAAGTTTCCTCATCATGCGACCTAAAGTGTTCATAGTCGATGTCAATACCATCCAAATTGTACTGCTTGATCATGCTCGTTAATGAAGAAACTGCATTTTGGACCCATGAGTTGATAGATTTTGGAGAAAAAAAGACCTTATTTTTATCATGAACAACACTATCGCCACCCAAGCTAACAGCCACTTTGACATTAGAGTTCTTGGCTTTGACCGATGCTATTGCCGAAGGACCCAAATTTTTAGTTTCCCAGAAAACATTGAATTTACCATTGGTGGATGACGGGTGATTATCTGAGGTGTAATCAATTGCGAATGCTAGGATAAAATGAACTTCAACTTTAGAGTTGATAGGAACATCTGATAACTTAACCGAGTCAGATTCAGCACCAATGTACTCCCGGAAAAGATTTGAGTTTGCAGCTGCATGTACGATAAAAAAATAGACGAAAGCATTAGCTCTAGAGAAACAAGATCAATACAGAACGAAGATGTGAAACTGGGTTACCACTGCGAGATGAGATAATTAGAAGCACAAAGAGCATGAGAACACGGGAAAACACCATGTTTTCTCTACTATGAACCGAGAATATGGATTGATGTTTAGTTGATGGTTATGACTAAGTGCTTATATAGCAGATTTGATCTGTGTTTCTACTGTGTGAACTAGATGATACAGATTTAGGTTTGGGTTTTGGCGTAATGTGGTGCTGGACTTATCAATTAGCAGAAAATAAAAATAAAAAAATTCCTTGTTATATCCAGAGATTTTGATGTTTTGTTCTAGGTAGAATCAGTATAGGCGGTACCTCCATGACTGCGATGAAGACCAGAATCTTCAATATGGATTGATGTAGAGTTGAATAGAATTAGAGCACCATAGATTCTAACGTGGATGCATGTTCGTCTGAAAGGATGCAACAAATATGATGAATTATATATTGTTTCTTGGTCAAACAGTAGGCTTGTTTAAGATCCAACTATAAAAAATACTACCAATGTTTGCAACTTAAAAGGAGACCAATAATTTTACAAACTGCTATTGTTTTAGACAACTCGGTGTGGGCACGTTATGGCTCGTTACTGCCTATGTGTCTGCACTTCAACGCCAATAACACGGGGGGAACACCGTCCCCCCTCGCCGTTATGTGATGAGCCGTGGTCATGGTAACGAGATGCAACACACTTTTCTTTCCGTTCTATTCTCTTTTCTTCCTCTGTGTTTTTCTTCTTAATTGGCCTCACAACGGCGTGAGCTTGGAATACCACACCCAAAAAAATATGTTGTGAAGAAGAATAATAATTACGCTGATGTGGCCTCTCAACCCTGTTAACCATACCGAGTAGTCTTAGGGAGAACCATTGGAGATGAGAGCATCCACAATATATGGTTTAATGGATTTAGTGGAATGAACTGAATGTTTAGTTGACATTTAAAGGATTAAAACCAACTATAATAAGATGCAAACAACTTGATATTCAATAGATTTGAAGTTTAAATGTCCATTGAAATATTATGGGGAAAAACAATCTTTTTATTTTGTTTTTCTAGAATATATTCCATTTGAAGTATATAAAGCTCAATTAATACGTTGTGTGTAGAATTTAAACGGTAAAATTATATGAAACTTTAAATATAATGTATTCTGGATATTTTTATTGGGAAATTTAGCATTCTTGTCCTCTTTCCTATGTTGTCTTCTATATTGAATATACTTTGATTTTGCATTCTCTAAATACATGCTTATTATTTTTATTTTTTCTAAAGAGGGATGTTCAAATCATTATTACAAAAGCATGTTTATCTTTTCATTTCTTTCTAGAAACATTCTCACCAGACGTGCAATCTAGCGGTAAATTTCATATCACTACAAATAAAATGACATTTAGTGGCACAGAAAAAAGTGTCACTAAAAACCAAAAAAGTGTCACTAAAGGCCTCCTGGGCAATCAGCGGCACAAAAAAAAAGTCCCACTAAAAGCGCTGCCACTAAAGGCCTTTAGTGACACATTTTGGTTGTGTCGCTGCAGCTTATTAGGTTTTAGTGACACTTTTCTATTATGCCATAATAAAAATTATTTTCATACTTTTAGTGACATTTTTTTAACACAAAAACTATACTAATAAAATAGATATTTTTTAATTTTAAATTGAATATAAAATAATAATAAGACAATTAAGATAATAAATGGAAAACACAATATTATTCTACCAATAATATTTTCAATATTTAAAACACAAATGTCTTCAAAAGAGTTTAAAAAGTCAAAATATGGTGCTAGGGCTCAAAACATATTACTATCGAACTAAATACTAGTTGAGGAAGAAACATGAAACTTGAATGAGCTCAAACTTTATTTAATTTCCAATCTTGAGTTTTTCTTCAAGGTAAAGAACCGGTTTGGTAAAAAGCATGACCCTGAATCCAATAATTTGTCACCATTAAAAAAGCACATGACATTGTATGAATCCACAAATTTATCCCACCTCCTGCAATCAAAAACTTCAAGTGTTAATAATTAAAACTACTCAAATAATTATCAAATATGACAAACTTTGTATGATCTACTTGGCCTAGGCATTTCTATTATAAAAAACTACTTGAATTATTATTTATATGTATTATAAAAAGATGTACTAATTGGTACTATATAAAAATTGAGATTCATTTTAATTTTTTGAAAATAAATAGCACTTGCATCAGATAGTTGTTAAGATATTCATATATCTAATGGCAACTATGTAATGCATCTAATGGCTAGCGCTTCATCTTTTATGATCATAGCAGGAATGAAATTACTATATACACAAATTATAAAAAAATCTAAATACTATATATTGCTTAAACGTCACCAAGAAAAGAAAATATCAATGTTAATTTATATAAAGTGGGTGTCTAGAATTTCTTTTTACACGAGGCGGGCTTCAAAACAACAGGTCTTGAATCCTCCTTTCCCACAACTAAACAGAGGATGACACTTTTGTCCTTTTGACAACCATGAATTCTTCTGTAATTGCATACAAATTAAACCAAAAAATTGATAAGACTACTTACTGTTAAATAAGCAAACCAAGGGCCCGCACACAGAGCATCAATATCATTTTCTACATTATAAACCTACACAAAATTTGAAAACAGATTAGGGTGCAACAAAATCTTGATGAAATGACAAATGAAAAGAAGTTAAAAAGAAACTTACAACTTACAGCAAGGCTGTATGATCCATATGTTAATATAGTTGCTGAGGCAGCTCTAATATGATTTTCTCGTAGCCTGCATAAGTAAATAGCTTCCAACAATGCAATTTTCAAACAATTAACGTCTGTAGATAGAAGTGTCTTTGTAGAAAAGAAGGTTAAAAATGGCAATTCAGTGAAGTTGGCGTGGACCTAATGGAAATTAAGTGATGTTGGTATCGGCCTAACATTTCACTTTTTGGTGTGCAGTCTATGGTATTGGCAAAAAATCAAACACGTGGTGTGCATTTTCCTCTTTACACATCTTGGTACAATCAAACACAGACGCAAAAAAATAAAGGGTGGAGGGCGATTGTACTACACACGGGGGAGAAGCTGATTGTCGATTGCACAAGGGAAAAGGCGATTGTGTTGATTGCACAAACACATAACATCTACATTAAAAAAGTAGTTGGTGTTGGCATGATGGTAGCGATGGCGTTGGGGAGGATTTCACCATGCTCCAGTATGAGAGAGAGAGAGAGAGAGAGAGAGAGAGAGAGAGAGAGAGAGAGAGAGAGAGAAAGAAAGAGATATGAGATAATGACAGAGAGAAATAGGTTACCTTTTTTTGCTAGTAATGAAGAAAGAAGGGCTTGAAGACATAATCTGTTTGTGCTGGTGACGAAAGAATAAGGGGTTGAAGATTGTGACAAAGGAAGAAGACATTATTCTGAATTTGTGAATGCTTGGAAAAGAATGGCGGACAATGGCGCCGATTTTGGGTTGGGGGGAAATTAGGTCAAAATTTTAGAGATAGAGGGAAAATGAAAGTTGAAAATGAAACTGAAGTTTGGGATGGCGGCAAGATTTTAATCTTGGGGAATAAGTGCGGGAAATTAAAAATAGAAGTGATACAGTGGCACAAAACAAAAAGTGTCACTATAAACATAATATAGTGGCACAAAAAATGTGCCACTAAAAAATTGTGCCACTAAATGTACTTTTTTTTGTAGTGTATGTTGCTAGTTGCTCTCAAAGACATCAACGTAAATCTTGATTTATGTCTGCAAATTTTCTTAATTTTGACTGATTACTAGCTAAATCTTGCCTCTAAATTATTTAAGCAACTATTTTTGTTGGCTAGTATTTAAAAGAAAATTTGCCAATACACACACACAAATAACCATGGTGGAACGCCACTTACATTATGTTGGAAACGACACCTAAGTTTGAGAGAGCTTTTAAAAGAATGTGTGACAACCCGATACTTTCTAGTCAACAAAAGTCAAATTCCGTTAAATAAAATGTCGAATTTTGTTTATTCCGTCAAATTCTTGTGGTTTAGGAAATAATCTAATATATATAAATAAAGTTTATATAAGTTTTCGGAACCAAAAACACTCGAAAAATCCAGTTTCCTTCGAAAAATCAGCAAAAATCGTTCAGCCAAGTGTTTACGGTCGCAAACCCTTGGGCCGTAAACCCGGTTCCGACCGTAAACCCAGCCGATATATAAGTTTTTCCCGGAGAGATTCCTCATTTCTCATCTTTTTCACTAAAAAATTCTCTCTCTTTGCTCCCAAGAACATCCATATCATAAAGATCGAATCTTTAAATCTTCAAGTTTTCACCAAAAACACCAACAACACCAAGAACAACCTTCAAATCTTCGAAGGCTGCAAACCGTTCAGAGCCAAAAACCGTTCACGGCCGCTAAATCAGTTCACGGCCGCAAACAGCCTTGAGCCGTGAACCTTGACTACAAACCCTCGTTTTCCACAATATACAAGTCTCGGTAACATTCCTAACCCAAAAACAAGTGTTTTCTAACATTTTAATTAATGGATTCGCTAATTTAAATGCAATTATGTGTTTAATTATCATTAGGATACCATTAAATTCCGCGTATTCCAACTCGAGGGTCATCTTTCCGGTTTTGCTGTCAAGCTCGTACACATAATCAACTGTGAGTTCGTACCCCTACACTTTTACTGTTGTTTAATGTTTTCAGGGGGAATACAAGCATAACACAAATAAATTTTGTGATTTTATATAAAGGATTTTAACAGGATTAAAACTTATGCAATTGATAAAAACCAAGAGATCATTACATTTTATAAAACACTTAGGCCCCGTTTGATACGCATCTTTCCAGGTCCAAACAGATCTTTCTGACTGAATGGACCGGAAAGACTGTTTAATTTGCACAAAAGAAGGGGTCTTTCCCGGTAAGATATGTCTTTCCCAGAAAGCCCCAAAATCATATCTTTCTGGCTGAATGGGCTGGAAAGACAATTATACACCAAACCCCGCCTCTTTCTTTCTTTATTGGATTATTAATTTTATAAATAACTTTTTTTAAATTTATTTTTTATTGAATTATTACTTTTTTTCATCATTCAGCACAGTCAATCAGATGTGCAATCAAACAACATGTTTTCTTTCCCAGTCAGAAAACTTTCCCAGACAGCACTTTACCAGACAGCACATTCCCAGACATAAACTATCAAACGGGACCTTAGATATTTTATCCCTTTTGTAATATGCTGACCATAAGGGAAGTTTTCAACATACAACCATAATTTCAAAGTTTTCAGCATAATACACGAATTGAATACATAACATACATGCAAACTATAATAGGTATAGTTTGGGATTCCACACACGGTTTTATCAATTCTAGAGTTTATACATTAACAAGCATATAACCTATAATAGGTATAGTTTATGGAACAATTACTTTATCAATGCACGAAACATAGATACAATGCGAATAAACATATAAACTATATAGGGTATAGTTTATGGATCATACACACAGTCATCTAAATTCAAAGGATTCATTTTATTCTACACTTAATCGTTAGTATAACATTTTATGAGTGAGCATCTTCGCGTACTTACTTAAGTACTAACAAAAGTCCTGAGATTATAACCAGAGTCTCCTGGATGGAGAACGTGAGTTTGCGTATAGATCTATACGGGACTGACAATCTCGCACCGCAACTGTTAGCTACAGTTAGGCCGGCAGGCCTGGGTGACAAAATTCATTTCGATTCTGATGCCTGAAGAACATTGTTCAGGCAATTCAATGGTCAAGTATGGTTATAACAACTCATAAATTTGGTACTAAATAATACGATTAATGTATGAATGGTAAACAACTTCAATTAGTTTTATTTTAAATTAATAGAACTACTATACATACTGGAGGATTCCAGGGTTTTCATACAAGAACATACTATACATACTGGTGGTAGCCAAGGTTTTTCATACAAAACACATTATACATTACTGGTGATAGCCAGTGATTTCATACCATAGTTTTCATACAAAACAATACTATACAATTCCACTGGTGGTATCTAGGCATATAAAATAACACGTTCATATACAACTATAGTACACAGTAACGAACATACACTTCGGTCTTAGGGTTTAAGACTACTTTTCAATACTAAAGAAAATATTGGATTTTCTTGAGAACATGCAAACATTATACAGATTCACAAACAGGTTTTCATTACAAAAACATACTTATGAACTCACCAGCTTTAATGCTGATACTCTTTCTAAATTGCTTGTATTCTCAGGGAGCAGTAGACAGGTACAACTGCAGGCTTTTGAGAAGACGAAGCTTATAGTGTCTCGTCTTTTATACTTTTGGATATACATTTTGTTGTATACATGCTATGTATCGAAAAGATGTAAATACTTTAAATATATTCAATGTAATGGTTGTGTTTGCTTTGATTACTATGATGCAATTTTTGTGATACTGTACATGACGTCCTCCACCCCCGAACGTTTCCGCCGTTCCGGTTTGGGGGTGTGACAGTTTAGTATCAGAACATTGTTTATAGTGAACTAAGTATATCAAACCTGACATGATATACAACTATAAACGCTAAGGCGCCGAAGTGCTCTGAACTAAAAGCATACTTTTAAAAATCTAAGTATTTTATAAGAATTATACAAGTATACATACATACCAGAACCAGTATCACAAGAAGAAAAAAACAAAAGTATTTAGATGTTGGACATTGCGGTCAAACCTGGGCAGTTATGTAATCATATATGGGATAAATATAGCCTGATCAACTATATTTATTTGAGATACGACCAACATGTGTTTGAGAGTGATATTGGTGTCGCGACAAGTCTAAAACTTACCAAACCCCATACAAAAGAGATCAATAGAACAGAACATACAAACTAAAATACTATAGGAGTATTTGGTAGCATTTCGATACTAGAGCCAAACATATCGTACATATTTCATTCTAAGTGTTGCTATTCATTCTCTAGTGATTGTTTACTTGCATTAAGTAGACTCCCTCTGTAAATCGCTTGATAGAACACTATAACTGTCATGATAAGATATACACTGTTCAATATCACCTGACTTGTGACAACTATAGAGGACTTATCTTCGTTTTTCTCATAAATTATTTTAGAGAAAGATGCCTCCGAAGAAGAAGTCCAATTGAAAGAACAACAATCCTCCACCGCCGCCACCTCCTTAGTTTGATCATGTTGTGTTCCAAGCAGCAGTTACAGCTACTGTGACTGCCGCAATTCTAGCGGCACTAGCGAGTCGGGAAGTGGTACCCATCCCCTCAATCTCGATGGTGGCCATGGACACCCAAATGAGTGTTCCTACATAGACTTCATGAACGCGAAGCCCAAATCCTTTTACGACAATAGAGGTGTCATTGCCTTAACTCGTTGGTTCGAGAAAATCGAATCAATTTTCGAGATCTGTGCGTGCCCTGAGGCAAGCAAGATGAAGTTTTCCGCCTGCACCTTCATTGATAGAGTACTAACTTGGTGGAACAGCCGATTCAAATCCCTAACTCTGTCGGTGGACAATGCCATGAGTTGGGAGAATCTGAAAGAACTGATGTTCGCTGAGTACTGCCTACGAGGCGAGATGCAAAAGCTGGAGCAAGAGCTCTAGAACCTGAAGATGAAGGGTTCCGACATTGCTGCGTACACTGCTAGGTTCAACGACCTGGCTCTTCTGTATCCCGGGATGGTCACCCCGGAAAGCAAGAAAGTTGAGAGGTACATATGGGGATTGACACCCCCAACTCAAGGGAACGTTTTGGCTGCTAAATCTCTCACATTTGACAGCGCCAAGTGTATGGCGTAGACTCTGATAGATCACGGGGATAGTCATGAACCCGTAGAAGACGCTCCTAAACCACCTAAAGAAAGTGGTGGGAAGAAAAAGTTCTGGAACAAACGCAAAGGCCAGCCTTCACAAGAGCCCTCTAAGAAGCAACAGACAGTGGCAGTATACGCTGCTAGCATTCCTGCTGCTGTTCCCACTACTCCAACAACTCCCAGCCGTTATGCTGGAAACCTACCCCTGTGTAGCAAATGCAACTTCCATCACTTGGGAGTTTGTAGATAAATGCAATGCGACAAATGTGGCAGAAAGGAGCACACAGCTCGTTTTTGCAAGACTCCAGCACAACCAGCCAACCAAAACCCCAGAGTTGGAGTAGGCAAAGCCTGCTATGTTGTGGAGAGACTGGACACTTCAAAAGGAATTGCCCCAAAGCAACGACTGTTGGAAACGCGGGGAATATGCTAGCAATGGGCCAGGAGGAGGCTGTCGCTAATCCCACCGTAGTTACAGCTACGTTCCTCCTTGACAACTCTTATGCATGTATTCTCTTTGATAGTGGTGTGAAGAGAAGTTTTCTCAGTCATGCATTTAAGCACTTACTCAAACACAAATCCCAACCTTTAACCGAAACATTCACCGTCAAGATGGCTAACGGAAAGAAAGAGAGTACAAACGACGTATTCGTAGGATGCACCCTCACTCTAAACGATTATTCCTTTCTAATCGACCTTATGCCGATTTCCATAAAAAGATTTGATGTCATCATCGGCATGGATTGGTTGAGCCCTAATCGTGCTGATATTCTCTATTATGAAAAAGCCATTCGCCTCAATCTGCCATCTGGCGAAGCCCTCGTTATTTATGGCGACAAACTCAGCACGAACCTTCGTATCATTTCGTGCATC